CATACAAGTCGATCATGGATTACATAGAATTCGATCATGGATTACAAAACAAAACAAAAACAAAAAAACAAAAAATTCGATTGTGGATTACAAAAATAGAAAAAACAATTCGATCATGGATTACAAAAAATTCAATCATGGATTACAAAAAACTCTATCATGGGTTACAAAAAAAACAAAAAACAAAAAATTCGATCATGGATTACAAAAAAAAAAAAACATTTCGATCATGGATTACAAAAAAAAACAAACATTTCGATCATGGATTACAAAACATTCAATCATGGATTACAAAAAATTCTTTCATGGGTTACAAAAAAAAAAAAACAAAAAATTCGATCATGGATTACAAGAAAAACAAACAAACATTTCGATCATGGATTACAAAAAATTCGATCATGGATTACAAAAAATTCGATCATGGACTACAAAAAATTCTATCATGGGTTACAAAAAAAAAACAAAAAATTTGATCATGGATTACAAAAAAAAAAAAACAATTCGATCATGGATTACAAAAAAATCGATCAAGTATTACAAAAAAATCTATCATGGATTACAAAAAAATAAAAAATAAAAATAAAAAAAAATTCCGTACGGGACTCGTCGATTCCGTACAGTGAATCGGCGAGTCACTGTGCATAATCGTCCGGTTCTCTCTAGAACCGGACGATTCCCGTTTTTTTCGCCGATTCGATCCGTCCATGGCGATTCCCGAGTCGAATCGGGCGAGTCCGGTTCGACTCGGCGTTTTTTTAAACACTGTTGTAAAGTAATATTTTCCTGTGGCTAATTCTTAAGTAGATGGTGATGATTTTATGCAACCGTTCTAAAGTAATATGATGCAATAATTTTAAAAAATCATCTCATGACTATTTGTTTGATTCGAATTTTAAAATATATACTCTTTTTATTCTAATGAACAATCAAGAAAAAATTGAAAACATTATCTAGAAAGAATTTTTTAGGCCCAATTAACATAGACCGTTCATTTTAGTGAGATATTTAGATCTAAGCCTTAGAAGGATTTTTTTTATTTTCAAATTTTTTTGGATGACTTTATTATCATTAAATGAACAATATTTAAAAAGAAAAAAAATGATTTTGAGTTTATAAAGGCTAAGATCTTGAAATTCACAACTAGATTCATTTTTGAAGGGGACTCATTTTGACCATACCTAGGGGGTTCAAATTGAACTTTTTTTTTTTGAAATCGATTATTGAGATGAAGAGAGTGTGTGTACAAAATTTGAGGTCATACAAATACCACAAACATGGTTTCCTAGAAGTGTCGTTGCATTATACTATAATACAACTGTTGCATTGGATCATTGCTCGACTTTAAAATCCTTGATAAAGATTCGTGTAACTGACTTTAAATAATTAAAAAAAAAAAAGTTATGATGATGATGAAGATCAATTTGAAATTCAATTTATCAACTTAATTAACTTTAATAATAGGAAAATACATTGTAACTTGTAAAATCACGTCACAATTACCCATAACTATCATATATGAAACCTAGTATCACACGCGATGGTAAAAAGTAATTGTGACATTTTTACAACAAAAATAAATAATTTTATTATATAATTTTCCATAATATTTACCTTCTATAGCTCGAATTTTAGTCTAACATATGGCAAAATTAGATAAATTTGTTTAGTGATGCGCGTTTGCTTTTCCAAAGAAAAAAATTATTGTTCAAATTTTAGTATAACAAATGGCAAAACTAGATAAATTTGTCTTGGATGACTCGAAATGATTCTAATATTCTTTGTAAGGGTATGCTAACAAATGTTGCCCCAATTTCAAAGTTTAGTAGCTTTAGCCAAGTTTAATTTGAATTTCAAACATTATTAAATAGAAAAAGTATACAATGAGACTATTGAATGTGAAATTTGTTACAAGATTGTTACAATTAATCTTGATCATTGAATATGAAATGTGGTGGTTGCATTTTTTCCACTAACCAAGCCCAATGTTCAAAAGAAATTTTTTTGAATTTTATGCGACACCCAAACTATTAAATTTCACACCGAATGGTTATAAGATAATTGTGACCTCCTAGTGCCAATGGTTGATGGTCTTATTGTATAAAATCTTATACTTTACATTTATATACTAGATAAAATTATGAAACAATGGCAAAGTTTTTCGTAGGCGAAGAGCTATGACCACAAGAGTGTTTTAAAAATTAGACATGTGGGTTAAACTAGTCATCAACTAATTCCAAACTAAATTGGCCGACTCAGCAAATTAGCTGAATTTTTAAAGAAACAACAAATAATAATTGTTGATAAAATATAATGTTTTTATCACATCTATATATCTCAAATTTCTTTAAAAACAATGTCCATTACAAATTACAAAATAAAAACATTGTTTTTTTGACTAACGGGTTTGAATCAAGGAACAAAAAACGATGACTCAGAATCCCAAATGATTCGAGCCAACTCAAACGGTTCCAAGGCAGCTCAGTTAATTTTTTAAAATGCCTGACCTAAGTCAATCATCTTTCCATTTAATGAAGAGTTGGCCCATCTAATCGGCTGCTAAGTCTGTTGCATTTCCTGCTTGTCAAATATCAAAGGAAATTTAAAAAACTCACAAATTTAAAACGCATAAGTTCAATATTACATATTTTTATTGGAAAAGGTTAAAATAAGGTTAGGCCTTATGGAAAAAGTAAAGCTACACATTAAAACTTACCAAAAATTGCAGTTTTGGTATTGGAAAACCTTCAAATAGATCATCTCAATCTTGACTATTTACAGTTGTTAAAAAAAATTAGGATTTCAAGCTCTAAAAATAGTTTATATTGTAACTTGTACCATTTTTTGGGTTACAAAATTTATAAAAGACTGTACGCTATAAGACAATTCACTTTGGTACAAAGAAATCACCTGTCACTTTTACCCATTGGATGTAAAATATGACACATTGAAGTCGTGATGGTAGTGCACCCCATACCTCAGGTGGTGGGTGTAGCACACCTCATAACTCATTTCCAGGGTGTGGCTTTCATTTATACTAAAAGCCTAAAAAACCACTAACTAAATAAAAAAAAGGTAGGGAATGTCATCCCCAATGAATTATCAAAAAAAACAAAAAATGATTCAAAACATTTTAGAAAGTTTATTTTGAATTTTGTACCCAATACATCCTTAACTACCAAATAACACATCTAACTGTTAATAAAATGGTGGTATTGCATATATTTTCTTTTCATACTCATAGTGCATCCTTACATACCAAATTAGACATCTAACTGTTAATAAATGGTGGTATTGCATATATTTTCATTTCATACTAACAGTAGAAACTACTTGTAGGGCTGCCCAAAGTGCTCCTCGAACGAAGTTTCGAGATAAAGCTTAACCTATTTTTATTATTTTATTTTATTTTATTTTTCAGATTCCTTCCCTTAAACGTGCAACCGCATCTCCATATACATAATCCGTGAGTTTATTCCATACGCATTTGTGTAGAAAAAGATTTTAGGTAGCACACCAGAACTTGTAAGGAAAAACAAATGAGAAAGCTTGCATTACTTACCAAGCTAATGCTGTAAAATGAATGCCTCTATAACAAATTACATTAGATGTATTTGAATAGTCTAATTTTGACATACACATCGTATCCATCCTAACGAACACGCCTATAAAAAAATATAAAATAAATAAAATAAAGAAAATTGAAAGAAAATAGAGAAAATAGTATTAATTGCAGCCATATGTTTTGGTGAACTAAGAGCTCTATAATTATATGTGTTAAAAAATTAATGTTTTATGAATGCATTCAGTTAGCAATTCTAAAAAATCATCATCATCCGAGGCTTTTTCCAACTATTTGAGATCAACTACTTGAATCTGGTCCACCATTCTACTATATCAAGGGCGACACCCTCAGCTGGTCCACCATTCTACTATATGAAAAGGCTACACCATTCTACTATACGAAAGGCAGCACCTCAGTGAGGTCATAAGTCCTTTAGTAATTTTAGGGGACACCCTCAATAAGGTCATAAGTCCTATAGTAATTTTAACCCCTAAAATAGAGTTAAAATA